GGCCTCCCCGCCTCTGCGGGCTGCGGATTAGGAGCGGGGTGCGGCACCGAGGCCGCGGGACCAGGCTCCCCAGTGCAGCGAGCGGCTCGCAGCACCGGGTCTCGCGGGGCGCGCGCCCGCCGCCGGCCGGCCGAGGAACTCCAAGTGCAGAGTCGGCCGCTTGGGGAGTGGGCGGGAGCCGGCTGCAGCGGTGGGCTGGAGGCGGCGGGAGAGATGCGGTCCTGTCGGGGCATCGGTTCCTTCGAGGTCTGCCTGGGCCATCCCCGACCACCGACCCTCGGAAACCAGCGGGGGCCACAGGCCACTCGGCCTGCCTCCTGGGAAGCCAGCCCAGCGGGGCTCCCCCATACCCCACAAGCTGATCACCTTCGGATGCCCTCCCTATATAGGGGAATTGACTCCCTACTGGAAAGTCAGCTGGATTCTTGGAGTTACTACCCTTCTTTCTCCTTGAAGAATCTACTTCTTTCCCTCCTGGGGACGTTTTGGACTTGAGCTCTACTTCCCACAGACATTTTGTCCTCCAGAACGCCCGTGTTCACATCAGCCAACCTAAACATATTTGGGTGTTTGGTTACTGCCTTAGCATATGGGCATTTTAACCCACGTGCCAAAATTAGACAATTCCCCTCTGCCAAAATTAAGTTCCCGGCAGACACCGAAATGAACTGACCTGGGATTTCAGGCTGGGTCTAACAGATGCACCCAATTCTAGGGGTTGCAGTTTGCAACCCTTTCCTCCCCTCCCCTAAAGAAAAAGTTGGCCAGCTTTCGTATTATTTGAGAAAATAACCTTTTGTCACCTATGATTAATTTGCCAGTAACTTTTTAGTTACTGCAATGTTGGCTTAGAAGAGAGCCCTCAGCTCTCCTCAGCTGTCATGGTAATTGCAATGTAGAACTGGATCAGTACTTGTGTTCTAATTACCATTAATTGAAATCTGTGTGCCAAGTCGACAATTGCTTTGCACAGATTTTTTATTTAATTCTCCTTGTGACAGTGGCAGCTATACCCTCCCCATTTTACAGATGAGAAAGTTGAGGCTATGAAAGTGTTAGCCAGCCACTTGTCAGAGAACACAGAGATGAGCTTAAAATTCCTACTATGGATATGCACAAAGCAGGGTGTTGAACCATACTGCCACCTGCCTACAAAGCACTGACATCCAGTTCAGCTCAGCTCTGCCCAGCAAGCACAGTATCTGCCTTGTGCTGGCAGTGTCCGTACCAGTATACTTGGGTTCCAGTTAACAAAGGAGCATTTGGGCCAGCGGACAACTTGGAATCTGATGACTTGAGTAAGCTTTTTAAAAGGGTGATGGATGCATTGAAAAATGCTAAATACCAGCTACCTGGATTGGACAAGCATATACTAATTTTTTGCCAGAATACATATCGTGCTAATGTCTCACTGGTGTGGGGTTGGAGGAACTGTGTTCTTGGACTTTGGGGGTCTTAAGAGAAATGGTTTTTTCCTTCTAAATCAGAAACTACCCATGGACAGTTAAGAAAAAAAAATTCGCAAGACCATGAAACAGTTTTTTTCTTCTATTACATTCATGCATAATTTCCTTGTGTAGAATTTGACACTTTTAAATTGAGAGCTGTATTTAAAAAACTTAACCTCAATTTTACCACTTATGATGAATCTTAATCTCTCATTGCCTTTTCTTGTCTTCCCTTAATTATATGTAGAAACTACATCTCTCTCTATTTCTACACAGTAACATGGGGGGAAAGCTACCCCTGTGTTTTCCACTCATTCCAGGGTATTTGTTTCAGCTGAGCTGTTCCCTCTACACTCTGCTATATACATGGGAGAGGGGGAAGTTGGAGGCATTTAGCTCCAGGTTTGCTGGCCATAAAATCTGACACAGTTTTATGTCAGTTCCACCCTGAAAGTTAGAGTACTCTTTTATTCCAAGGGCTCTGACTGAAACACAGGCAAGTCCCACCTGTTCTGCTCAGTCCAGTGGAGTCTGGAATTCCCAAGCACTAACGTTAAAGGCTCAGGATATATTTATGGAATGAATGCAGTCTAGTATTGGGAAAGACAGGTAAATAATAATGAGGTAAAATATCACAAAGTTGGGTGAAACTCAGCTCAAATTGGCTTCAGGTAGTGGGCCGTGAGAAAGTCTTTCTCAATATATGTCTATTGCAGTTTACTTGTGTCAATTATATTCTGTGTCATACTTAGTGCACAGAAAGTCAGTCTTCTGAGAAAACAAAAATGCAAGAAGCAATTATAAATAAATATTGGGGGAAATGAAAAGATTTTGAAGGCTCTGCGTGAACCAAAAAAATGAATGCGGATCACAGACAATAATTCTATTATTTGAATCTCCTGTATAACATTTACATGAAACGTAAGCAGTCCAAAATGACCCTTCTACTACTCTCTGAACCTTTTAGTTGAAGTGAGAATGGTGAGGAGAAGGAGAAATAAAATCTTGCATTGCAAGTAATTCTGTTAGGGAAAGGAGAGCCCCAAGGTAGATAAATACATGGGACTGTGGACCCCATGTGAGCTCAGCAACAGGAGAGAGCCCCACCCCAGTGTCTTGCGACTGCCAAGCACACTCGTCTGTGTTCCTCTACACAGCCATGTCCCCATCTACATACCTATACACTCTCTGAGATCTAGCAGCGCCCCACAACTCCACAAAGCTCACTCCTACGGGTTTAGGACTAAACCCACAAATGATGGAAGGTAGAAAGTTTTACAAGCAACTGCTGCTTTCAGCTTGCTACAACACTCTCCTTAGGCAAATAAAAAACATGGTACCTACTCACTTCTTCTGTACATGTGCATGTGTGTATGGTAGAGAGAGGGCAAGTAGAGGCAGGAGGATTGGGGAAAGGAAAAGTACAGCAAGAATAGGAATGATTTCTGAAAGAATGCCCACCCAGACATATATGTGTGGTATCTGCACATTAGTTAATAAAAATGATGGAGCAATGACACATACATTATTAAATCACTGACAATGATTAAAGTCTATTAAACTCTTCTCAGTCTAAGACCACAGTTGCACACAACCTCCATCTCCTCTGGTGCCCAGGTTAACTCCAACTTAGCCACACTTTGACAAATGCCTCCCTCAGTTCCTGGGCTTTGCAGCTCTGACAACAGCTGGGTTTCTAGTAGCCACTCCAGCCTCATGTCTTTATGACAATGACACTGTCTCATCAGCTCCTACTAAAGTCTCAGTTGTCAACAAGTTCACTTTGGGTCCAGTACTGTCCCAAAATGTGTGCAATAAATACTGGCTTCCCTTAGTCCTTTCTTTTCTTGCCAACGGGGACAGATTCGATGACTTTGTGCCAGGTCACATAGTTATGCAGGATGTGTGCTTCCCAGTATGCCCCTCTTGTGGGGTTACAGATCAGGGAGGTTAGAAGAGAAAAGCAAGTGTGAAGGGAGGGAGGAAATCAAGCAATGGCCAATACCTGTTAAACAGCATGGGTGCTGGGAACAATGATGTGCGCATGTGTCCCTGGCCTGCTCTCCCCTGTCCCCTTGTCCTGCATAAGGACAAGTTCTGTGGTAAAGGGCACCAGCCTCATCCACAGATTGCCAGCCTCATTGAAAGTGAAATTGACTTGAAAACAATACAAAAATTGACAGACAACTATAATCAGAGATATTCATTGGGGAGAGGGAGACAAAGGGATCAAAATGAGGGTGGGAAAAGCACCAGTCTATGGTGATGGTGTGTGGGTGAATTAGTAGTAGAAATTCTATAGGGACTACACCTTAGAAAAGCAAGCATGCAATGTAAAAAACTGAGCAGTGATGTAAAATATATATAAATAAATTATTTTAACAAAAAAATAAATTGAAGTTGTAGTGGGTCCAGTGTCCCTGTGTTCATGTGAGTCTGACCCTCTCTTCCCTATGTCGTGTCCTGGTTTTTGTACCCCTTCTCAGTCCTGCCAAACCCAGGCTCAGTGGCCTTTTCCCTGCTTTTCACCACTGCTTATAATAAACCTCCATTTCATGGCCTTTACCCAGGATCTGCTTTCTGATCAAGCCCTAACTGATACAGAGTCATATTCCTGTGTATCCCCCTCTCTTAGCTAGAAATTGGCTGTTTATAGAGACCATAACCCCCTCAATCTAGCAATCTTTAAAGGAAGATATTTCATTAAAAAAAAAAGGCAAACTGCTTGCAAAAGTACTTTACAAAAGGCAATAATTATAACCAATAAACCCAAGAAAAGTAATCAACTTATTAGGGA